CAGCTGCAGTTTGCTGAAATCCTTGGCTGATCAAAGGTACCCTCTTAAGAGGAAAGCATGACAAGAAGACACCACCTGTAAAGGAAAAATGTTACAAATGGAGACATAAAATCCAGCTTCCTTTTCCAAGTAAAAAGGCTTATGTCTGTACAAGAGCACTGCCCATCTGTAAACTGCTATAAACGGTACGGCTACTCAGAATGAATACAGTTGCATTCAGCTGAGTGCCATAAGAAGTAGAGGAGGAAGTTGGCTTAGTTGCTCAGTTACAGCAAAAATAACATTTAATATGAAATTAAGATATTGCATGCAATTGCTTCATGCTCTAAAGCATACTCTTCAAGTTGCTTTTATTCAATATTACCATCTGTCACCTTTCTCAAGAATTTTCATAGAATGATAGAATCATAGAATATCCCGAGTTGGAAGGGACCCACAAGGATCATCGAGCCCAACTCCTGGCACCACACAGGTCAACCCAAAAATTCAGACCATGTGACTAAGTGCACAGTCCAGATGCTTCTTAAATTTTCTCCGCAAACTGGATATTTAAAATTGACACAAACAAAATCTCATCTCATGGTTAGATAATATCATAAGAATACACAGCTCTTCACTGTAGGGACATTAAAGAGCTAATAACTTCACTGTGCTCTCCAGTCTGTTGGTCAGACTGAAACTGTTGGGCATGTCAGAGCTCCATTTCTGCCATAGGACTCCAGTAAATCACTCATGTTTTGTGCCACACAGGTATATTCAGTGACTTAGCATTTGCCAGATGCAAAAGCTGTAAGCTTCTAAGAACCTACCCAAAACTGTGGAAAGAAAAAATAGACATACTTTCATTCATAAATTGTGGGAATGCAGCCATGTGCAAGTTATTGCTGCCTGACACAATTTGAGTATGGGATCATTATTTATGTCACATGTGGAAAAATAAGTGGCTGCTAAAGCACTCTAAAAAAAAATAAAAATAAAAATAAAAATCACACAAAACCTTCTGGACCTTGTGTGTAAATATTCAAAAACAGCTAAATGATTTTATCCCTAAATGTAGATATTTTTTCTTATGTTTCTGTAATATCAAAGTTTGCTGAATTCTGAAGGCGGGTTCTCCCACCAGACAATTCAAAAGAACAAAAGGGGAGACATCAAGTCACCTCACTGCTTCAGGTATCTGATGCTAAATGTGTGCATGGCCAATTTTTCGGTACAAATTTTAACATCCTGGAGGCTGCTTTGATTTGTACTAGTTGGAAGGTTTCCAAAGGAGCCGTCCTTGTGGCCACAGCTTAGAGGGGCTCAGGAAAGTATCAGTCATGACTCCATGCTGACACTGGCACCGAGACAGAATACAGCTTGTTCTGGCTCTATGCTAGAAGGCATCCCACCCACAACTGTAGGAAAATGTCAGGTATCAGTGTAGTGCAAAGTATTCTTAATAGGAATATTTCTGGAGTTTGTTTTTTGAACTTGTTTGTAAATCTATACAAGTACAATCTATACATCTCGCACTTAATGTGCCTTGCAAAAGCAATCAGATAGCTAAAATGAATATTGTCAGAACGAAAAGGACTCAATCTTGAGACAGAAGACCTGTAGAGAGACAGAGTTTTGAAATATATATATTTCTGATTTTGTATTCAGGATGTTCAGTACTGAAATTTTTGCTTGCTATTTATTTTACATTATTTATTAATTTACATTATTTATTTCTCTTTACTTGTGTTGAGAAAGTATGCATTGTTAAATGCACCTTCTAATTTCTCTCTTATTTCTCTACATGTACATGCTAAATATAATTATAGGCCTTCTTCTGTTGAAAACACTCATATTTTACACCTTTTTTCCTCCTGTCCACAAGGCAGTGATTTTCTTTCTTAGCCACAGATTATTCTCTCCCAAATCCATCGTTCCCAACCACTCATTTGGTGGAGCACAGCAAGCTTTTTCAATCACTCCATTTTGCTGATGATGCATATGAGGTTGCAGAACTTAGTCTTGTCCTCACAACTGAATTGTTTTGGTACAATTTTGTTGTAAATCTGAAGTATTGCAGTTACAATCTTACACAAGGAGGTTCTGATTCCAATACCACAAAGCTTTTTTAAGTTTGTTTTCATCACATGGAAAGAGTTCTAAGCTAAAGTAAGCAAGCAGTTCTTCTCTAATAAAAGTGTTCCTGCAGGAGATTATACCCATGTAACAGTTCAAATGATTTGCCTCCTTTTGAGACAAAGTCCTAGACAATGACGTGCTCCATGCAGACATAGAAGATGCATCCAGATGGTAGCTCTCTATGTTGTCTTAATTGGTTCAGATAGCATGTTTTCTTTCATAATAGCATGTCTCAATTTTTGGTCAATTTTTAGATGGAAAACTGTCCTTAGAGCTGAAATTTTACCATGGCTATAAGTCATTAAGTTGCTAAGAACCATTCAGAAGCATGCTATAAACACCTGCTCATAAAAAGCACTAAACTCTATTTAAAAAAAAAAAAATTAAAAAAAAAAGCAGTAAATCATTTCTCATATTATATTTTCCATCAGCATGACACTTTCTCTGTATTTTCAGACGTCTAAAGAACAATAATGCTTCATTTTATGGTAGTCAGATGGATCAACAGTCTAAAGAGCCAGTCCTGCTTAGACTGCATGAATACGTACTTTGAGAACAGACTTATGTGGCAGAAAATTAAATAAAAGAATCCTAGGAGAAATTTCAGTTTAGAAAAACATCACCCCACTGGGAAAAGAACCCACTTGTCAGAAAAGGCTGAAAATTAATTTTACCATCTGAGAGACTGAGTTTTCCTAGTAATTTAGTGACTGATTCTCCTAAGGGGTTCCCTATGGGTAGATTGTTTTCATGTATATTGAGGCATTTTTGATAAAAACATCTTAAATTAACAGATTAGATCTGCAAACATTTGCACTATTTTTGTCTGTTTCTTCTATTCCTTGTGCTTTGAAGACTCTAATCTCCGCTAGTACAACCTGTGAAACATGAGGATGAGGTGCCTGATTTCAGAAATGCTCATGTCTTTTCTGTGAGGTAGAGGAACGTTTCAGATCATGAATGTTCAGGAACTACTAGAAATGCGATTTTAAGTCCAGGAAAAGGTGGGTAGCTGTGATGATATGAACACTGAGTAAGAAAGTATTCACCATTTTAAAGGGTTTAGGTGAGAGTACAGGCAAACACATTTAGGTAACATTTAAAAGTTGGTCAATTCATAACCTTTTGCTCATCAGGCAAACACAAAGGCTTTTCCTTAAAGCTCTCTTTGCTCTCTACTTTACCATTCCACGCATCACAAATCAAGACAGTAATTGAGGTGTCAGAATGCCTGTAAAAGATCTTGTGAAACCCCTACTCTTTTTAAATCATACTACTTCATACACCTGAAAATGTATTAAATTAAAATTACTTTTAACCTTGTACTAGACATGCTTTTGTTCTTGATCTATGGAGAACTCAGATTCTACTCAGTTTCTACTTTGTGCCTGTTATATAATTCTTCTTTGAATGGGATTTGAGTATACATTTCACTTCCTATGGTCATTTTTTCTACACAGAGACATGATGCATATCTATCAATTCATAGAATCAGTCTATAAAAATAAGGAAGAGAAAGATGTTTGTTTGTTTGTTTGTTTTCTGGGACTAGTATACACGTATAAGGAATTATTCAACTGCCATCTTACTTAAAAGACTGTCTCTTTTATATCTGTGTTTATCATTCAGTTGACTCCAGTGTAGCTGATTTACAGATTCAGATTTCACAATTTTGCCTTCCAGCCAAGCTGTCTGTGATTTTTTATTTTATATTATTTTCCAATTTTGATATCCAGAAGACTTAAAGGCTAGGTTATATAGCAACTACTACCCTGGTTTACCTAACAAGTTCTCATCCATGATGAAGAGACATTTTAGGGCAATGAAAATCTTCTCATATTCAGTTAAATAGATCATCTTAAAACTAATTGTAATCTGATCAAATATATTTCATTTGCATTAGCATAATTCTAACACCTCATAGAGATTCCTTGAAAATCAAGACTTTCAGTGCTGCTTTACATTTTGGAGCATTAGAAGTATAGAAAATACAAGAAATAAAATTTAAATAAAAACAAACTACTAATTAGTGACATGCTGGTTACTATGAAACAGGATGGAGCCAACATAAACTGTGTATAACTGTAATTGTAAACATATCTCCTATCACTTAGTAGGGAGGACAATCTTGAGGTTCAAATTCTTCCATTCCACTTAGACAATGCATTGCATCATATGATTCCAATTTATTTCCATTTATTACTGACTACTTCTGTAACACTTTTCAAAGGAAAGAAGAAAAAAAAAGCAAAAAAAAGCAGATAGAAACAACATTGGAGTGCATTGCACTGTCCCCAAAACCATTAAATGCTTAAAGCCTTGTTTAAAAATAAGTTTTCAAACTCCATTTTTAATTAAGACAAGGGGAGAATAACAATCCAAAATTCAGAAAACTGTACTGTAAGAGATGTTCAAAAATTTGCTAGATTTTGGTCCATGGAAATTGCAGGAAGGCAAAGGGCTTTTTTATACTAACTTTTGAAGTGCAGGAATAAGAAGAATCACTGTCCACAGGCTCAGCTATATCTGTGTTCACAATCTTATATGCAACTCCACTTTATCCACATATATTAATCATATACTTTGGATGGAACTGCCTCTAGACAAGTGTGTTGAAGATAGCATCCGTTAAACACTAAAAGCTTATTCCCTGACATCAGGCTTCATTCTGAAAGCTCCTCTGATAAATGTCTTATTTAGTTTCTGGACAAGTCCAGAGCACAAAGAACATCTTTTATTTCTGAGAAAGGACAGATATTTGGTGAGCTTACATTGTGTTTTGAAGGATAAGCCATTCCTACCTGGAGGGGGAAAATGACTCACCAAAACATACAAAGAGTCCTCTAGCAGATGGGACTTCACACACACACAACTTCTGCTAATGGAATTGTTTTAATGTTGACAGCTACACACAGCAAGATGGATTTCATGTCTACCACAGAGAAAGCTGCCTTTGTCCTGTCTTTATTCAAGTTGAGTCTGTCCTGACTATAATACGCTGTGAGTAGAATAGTCTTTCTATAAACTGCCATGACTGCTGAGCTTCCACTGCCACCTGGAATTTCATTCATGTTTAGGGTAAATATCACATGTTTTTAATAGCATTAGTAAATTGATACCTTGCTCCATAACTAATGTGACCAGCATTTCTAGCTAAAAAAAATTGTATTTCTCCCTTTTCCCCAAAGAAGGAAAAAGTGTGAACTCCTGAAAATGTTTTTCAACATTGCACCTTTCACTTCTCAAAACAATAAAGAAAGAGCCAGTCTCCTCTGTTCACATAAGCAAAGTATTTCTCTTAGCAGCTGCTCTTTCCTTGCATAGGGTGCCTTTAAGAAAAAAAAAAAAGGAAAAAAAAAAAAAAAAAGATCACTGAATAAATAAACTGGGCCTCTTTCCCTTCATCCGCATCTTGCTCCTAAAACGTCTCATTTTTTACATAATTGATCAGCGTTATTTGGATGAATGTGTTTGCACAGCTTTGGCAAGCAACTGCGTATTTTTTCCTTCTCATGCTGGAAGGAACATTTTATTTCAAAGAGTTAAACGGCCACAGAGACCCTTGAGATGCTCTACATCCTCTAGCTGTGGTATGCACTCTGCTAAGCTTTGAACGATACACTATGCAGCAGCCCCTTTGAGGATACGGCTATGTAAACCATCTTACACTCTTTTCCTACCTATACTAAAGGCCTAGTGTCTCCAGGAAAAAAAAAAAAAAAAAAAAAAAAAAAAAAAAAAAAAGAAAAACAACGATTCCTGTAATTGGAAAAAATTACTGCTAGAAAGAATCAACAGGAAAGGACTGAAACGAATAGGTAATCCAAACACGTGCCTGAAATTCCACCATTAATAATATAATTCGTGCAAATGTTCCCAACAATGCTTCACTGTTAGTCACATGCCATTGTTTACATTGTTATGATGGTTAGGTTACCACAGATATAACTGTACTTTAAGTCTGGGAAGGTTGTGGCACGATATAAGTCAACCTCCTGTCACACTTCCATTTATTTTGCCACCGAAGAGGGAATAGGCAGCAGAGATGCAGATCCCATATGTGCTGAAGTCCCACAGCCACATGGATTTCTTTTGGAAACTGGGATCATTAACTGAAAAAAACTATGAAATAAGCCCTTTAAACACAATAGCCAAATTCTTTTCTCAGTCAGTAAGTGTAACTCAGGAATTCTGATTCTCTTTTTTTCAGCTGCCAGATGAAGCCACAGTAGGAGTACATGGTTGGTCTTATGAAAAAAACAAACACATCGACCAGTGCAAGTCTTAAAGACACTGCACAAAATACTTTTAAAAAAAATATATTTATTTGGTGGAATCATTCCTTTCTGTCAGAGAATAAAAATTGGTAATATCCCCTGTATCACCATGTGTGATGGCCCTCTGCAACTTACTCTTGCAATCTCTCCCACTCAGCATACATATGCAGCCATGCAGAATTTAGCCAAGTGGGAGTGACAAAGATCTAGTTTGGACAAGATATATTAAACCCTCTATTTATATAATTAATTTATATAACATTTCACCACTGAATACGATGAGTTTTCAGGCCAGTCACTGTCTGCTTCTTCATATAAAGACAGACCACATTTCATGACCACACTTCACCTTTTGCAGCATGTCAGGAACACTTTACCTTATTTCTGAAAGGCTCCATGGCATATTATCAACTTTGTCTTGACGGACACAGCTCTGAGGTTATTTTTAAATCTGCCAGTCTAGTCTTCTTTCGTAACAGCCAGTAGGTTCATTGTTATTCTAAATTTTGACACTGCTTTTTGTTACTTACATACAGGTTATGTCTCAGTAATAGAGTTGGGGTTGCAGAGAGGGGCACAGACGAAGTGGGTCAGAGAAGGAAAACCAAGAGAGGATGAAGGTAAAAGACATGTGACAGAAGATCCCTAACAGTTTGGTTTTTTTCCTTGACAGATGAGACAAGCATAGATTGTATGAAGTATTTTGGGGCTCAAGGCATTGATGGATCTATCTGCATCAACTGAAGAAATGATTTCTGGATATAACACATTTGCTATTATTGGAAGATGAACAGAGGGACAGAATACAGAACCTCTGTAGAAGCCCAAAGGAGACTGAAACATAGCATTCCAAATAATTTTGGAAAAACAACACTGAGGGCAAACATTTCCTTTATATAACTTGGCAGACCAGTGCTAAAAAATGAAATGTGGATCTCTAGCACTTGGCAACAGCAAATGGCCAAAAAAGGTCTTGAGTGAATAATATGCAGAGCAACTGTGAGTTTTAATTCAATTCATCACAAAAATTAGGAAAAGATTTTCTACCTTGCCAAATTCTGAACTACTTTTCTCATCTGTTTCTTTTTCTCTCTCTCTCTTTTTTTTTTTTAAAAAAAATCAAGCCCTAACAATTATTTTTCTATTACAAAACATACTAGCAACATAGAATTATTGATAGCACAGTGCTGGGAATGTTATTGACTTAAAAAAAAAAAAAAAAAGATATCTTAAAAGGCCAAATCCCAAGTCTCTCATTAATTTTGTTAGAAGGTAACTTATCTACAGTGGGTCAGCCCTGGAATGGCAAGTCTTGGTGAAAGTAATCTATCAGTTGCTATCAAAAGATCCCTTGTAACACAAAGTTCAGCCAAATTTATCTGTCCATTCAGGTTATCATGTCCTGTTTTCTTAACCTAGAAATTTGCTCAGAGAGCATTAGCTCACCGCTAGCTCCATAGCCCCTTTCCCACAGAAGAAAAACTGTATTTATAGCATTTTTTTTGTGTGTGTGAATTAAAGCTGTGAAGCAATATTGGCCTTTTGAGGCCAAAATACTAAATATTCTGAGCTTGTGTTACCATATTTGGCACCAAAATGTGTACCCATATTTTTTCCTTTAAGTCAAAACATCTGTTGAAAACTGATAGGTATCAGTAGATGAGAAGTGGTCATTCTTAATGCCATTGATAATAAGAGGGAAATAGACAATAAAAAACTGTCAGTGAAGTTACAAGTAATGAAAGCACTGAATCAGATAAATAGGAACTGGCCAAACTCATTTAGTAAAGCAAACCAAGCCTGGAAATCTTGGGGGAGAATTCTAGGTGGAGCAGATCAAATCCTTGACACAGATCCTGTTAGTGGTTTGCCAGTATTGCCTATCCTGAGCCAAGGACCAAGCACAGGCTTTGGCAACGCTTAGCTTCCTAGCACAGTTAAGCTTCATGTGAGGTGCCAGTAATGACCCAGATGCAGTCACCTTCAAACAACTTCCTAGTTTATTTATTCTGAGTGATCACAATACTTTACAAATTGCTTGCAACAACAAAGAAAAATGTCTTGTTGAATCAAGTTGTCTGAAGAGAAGATGTTGTAGGTTTGCCCTACTGCATGGAGAACAGCCAGGCCTTAGCAGAGAGTTTGAAGAACTGCCGACAGTGGACCTGTAGCAGCAGAAGACTAGGTTTTGGGGAGTGTGAGTCGCATCTACCTTGAAACAAAAATGGCTTCTTATATTTTCAGGGATTTTTCCATTACTTTAGGTTTTAGAATATAATTTTCATTTTAATATATTTTAGCTTTTCTTATAAATTCAATTCCAAAAGCAGTGTAAATCAAAGCATTTTCTGTATGAGTTGTGGGAAGCACCTAAGGTTTCTGATTTTCTATAATGAGCAAAAGAGAAATGGGTCGAAGACATCTTTGCCTGTGTTCTGAACAATCTTTTATTGTTAAAAACCTTATTTTCAACTGAAAAAAAAAAATATTCAGAAATCCCACTGATTTCAGGAGACCAAGAAACTGACTGAGACTCTATAATGTGGGACATGAAAGTTTCTGAAGTATCAGGTTTCATCGTAAGATCTGGAAATCTGTCAAGTCCTGCTAGGCATCATTTCTTACACCGAGTGAAAAATCACTTTTTTTTCTTTGTCTTCTCTTTGCCATTTCATAGGCCCAGAAGCTCTTAGGATTTATCAGCAGAACATAGCAAATCCCTAGTGCTGCAGAAAGTCCAGTAAGAAATGACATGCTTCTGCAACTAAAAACAACAAAGCCAAAATCTAACCAAATAAAAACAAACAAACAAACAACAAAATACAAACAGAAGCGAGCTTCTGACAGTGTGGGAAGTGGCCTAAATAAGACCATTTTTAGGAACTACTGATACGATACATCAGGAAATTATAGACTTATTTCTGCAGTTTTGCATTGGTTCTGGGGAAAGTCTTGGAAATGGCTGTAAAAGACCAAATGGAAGAATGGTCAGTAAACCACATCTTGAAGCAAGGACAGCCAGCATGGTCTCAAGTAAGGGAAGGGCATGCCTCGCTTGCTTGCTGGAATTGCTTAAGCCTGTGCCTGCCAACACAAACACGGGGAATGCTGTGGACACTGCATAGTTGGATTTTCAGAAAGCACTTGCCAGAATTCCTAACTGAGATTACTGTCTAATGTGCAAAGCCATAGCCTAATTCGGAATGGGCAAAGGGGGCCCCCGCAGAAGTGAAAGGCAGCTCATTGGGCAGGGAACGAGGCAAACCCCCTGAAGGCATGGGGAAGTTTCTGCTTCTAAGAGCTGGCCTTACTAATAAGCTTCAAAATGCCTGGCAAGTTGGACATGGTTTGGATGTGTAAGTAGAGAAAAGGAGTTGCAACACATCTGGAGGCACAAAGAGCTCATTTTATTATTAAACATGAAAGATAATTAATAGCCAAATTGTAATTTTGCTAATTTTGTAAAAGTAAATTTCAAGATTAAAGAAACTCAAAGCAAAGGGCAGAGCTGTACTCACCAAATCTCTACACAGCCTATTAGAAAAATAGCCTGAGACACATCAACAGAGTTTTTAGCCAGAGCTACTGAGAAAAAAATGAAGGCTAGAGTAACTGTGAGGTTGTAAATAACTGAAATGTCAAGTTAGTTGTGGAACTGAACAGAAAATAAAAACTTGGTTTGATCTGAAAGTTGAAAAAGTTTATTTGAGGTGAAAAAAATATTGGGAACCAGGACAAGCAATCTGATTCAATATAAAAATATAAATTTTAATTTATAAAATATATTTCCAAATACTAATAGAAAGAAAGAAAAAAAAAAGCCAGAAAAAAAATAAGAAATAGGCCAAAATTCTTTTTTAACTACTGTGCAATTAAGGCACTCACTCAGAATTTAGGAAACACATACCCTCTTCTATCTTCCCACTCATGCTGACTTTAACAAGTCCAGTATAATGTATTATAACATTGGATGTACTTCCTTTTCTGTTGAAGCTGTTCTTTCTGCCAAAAGTATTTATATATTCATTTACTTGAAGGCAGAAAATAACAGTACTCACTACCTGTAGGGAAACAGACTAACCCCTGATCTAATTATTATTTTACATGAGGTAAATTCAGTGAATTCAATATTGACACCTCCAGATTGGACTAGATGACTTCCTTCCAGTCAGAAAAATTAGATGAATCTATGAAAATCTCCTCAACAGAGAGAATATTGTGTGGTCTGGTAAGCACCAACCTTGGAAGCCCCCAGCATTTCAAGTGGGTATCATAACTGCTCCTGGATTAAGACAGCTGTCCACTTCATTACCATGCAAACCTGGTGAATCACTTCACAGTGAATCACCTCACAAATTTCATCTGTCTGGTTGTCATAAAAACCTACTCTCATTCTCCCAGAGCAGAGAACATGAAACACAATGTGTAAAATACTAATATTTTTACAAAGATGGGTCTAAAATTATACATCGTAAAGGTAAATTATAGAAGCCAGAGCTTGTATTTAATGTCTGCAAAATCACCTAAAACTTTTTCTTTAATCTATCCATACAATGAACAGATGGCTAGTCATAGCAATTGCCAGGGACACTTATAAATGAAATATTTTTCATGCTTCAGTATGTTTGGAGATCATTACTTGGACTGTCTTGTACATTGTAGTACAAGTCACTCCTTTTTGTAGGTTTAAATATGTCTGTGGTGCACAACTTAATATTTTTGCTTAATTTCTGTACTTTAAAAACAAACAAACAAACCATCCTGTATTAACAAGTTAAGGCAACACAGAGGAAGATATGGCCCCCACTGGATTAGGCCACTGTGCAGTGTGACTTCTTCACAAGGTGGGAAGACCTCAACTCTATCTGTCATTGCTAATAAGAGAAGAAAGGGAAAGCACAAGCACCCCACAAATCTGCAACCTGATCACAAAAAAGACTGTGAAATATCAGATGCAGGAAGGAGCTCTGTGGCAGCCAATTCAGTGTTCAGAGAGTGGCATTCAGTAGCAGCCCAGTTCTTCCTATTTACACAATTGGACTAAAATAAACAGGAGTTTATATCAGGCAACAATTGCACTTGAAGACTTCCTTGAAACCCTCATCTCCTTCTGTTTCCCAACCCTTCAATTTCAATGACCCTTTAAAGAAATAAGCCTGTTGCCATAAAGCTTTGTGTCTTACTTCTCAGTGCATTTTGCACAAATAAGTAACATCGTTATCAGACTCAGAATCAGAATTGTGGTGAATCAGCAGCAGGTCATTAGGAGCCAAAAGCAAACACCAAGTGTTTCACTTTTATACTACTACTTTTTACACATGCAGTCAACTATGTGAGGATGAAACCTCATATTAAAATAACTTTCTGCAACACCACTGCTGTCGTTAGATTGGGTCTTGTACCTCTGAGTTATAGTGAAGGGATTAAATTAATGAATGACAAGTTGGTTTGCTGTACACTACAGAAAATACCAGTAACAATTGAATGGTATTTTGCAGAAGAACAGAAAAATGCAGTTACACGTACATCATAAAGTCATTCAGTGTTTACTGTTTGTTCAGTGAAAGTTTGTCATAAATCATGGATGAATGCAACTGCAGCAATGTAATTACAGTACTGTACTTTAGGAGGGTGAAGGACTGTGATAACTTAGGGATTGCTTAAGTACTAAAAACCATGGCAAGCTATATAATTCTGGAGCACCAGGTCAGCAAACACAAAAAATGGCAAAAGATGATTTTAAGAAATATTATTAAAAAACCTCAATGGGAGAGCTGTGAATCCAGATTCTATTTAACACAAACCACTAAAGCCTGGAGAGAGAAGGAGTTCCTCAGGACAGCCCTGGGTTTGGCATGCTGTTTGCCATTTGAACAAGACAAACTGACTGGCTATTTTCCTGTAATAAAAACTAAGTCTGCAAATATTTTTCCAAAAATAAAAGAAAAAAAAAATACCACTTTCATGGTCCATACTTGAATGACTGGGATAATGGCATTGGGTAAGTGGTCATTGAACAAATGTTTATAGCAAATAGTGAGACACAAGCAAATGGCAAGTTACAGGCAAATCACCAGGCCATTCCTCCTCTCAAGAGAATTAAGCTTAGTGAAGCAAGCTGTATGGTCCTTCTTGTTGCCATACAAACATCCACAGATACCCTAGCATACGTTCTGTCATATATACACTATAGACATGGAAATTATAATTCAAAGCACAATGCTGTAATTTTATGAAATAGGTTGGGAAAATGCTACACTACCTCACATAAAACATAAGCCAGTGTTCAAAATTAGCAAGCACTACAGATCTGTTCATGTTCTACATTGATTTTTTAGCCCTGTTAAACTGTCACACAGAATGATAGCAAGTGTCAAAGTGTCCTGTTAGGTTGAAGACAAGGGCTATTGTTTAATTGTTAGCAATGAACTGAGAACAATTAACAACCTAACTAGTACTAACAATTCAGCGCTTCTTCCTGAAGTTGTAGCCAGTTTCTCACTACTACTTTAGAATAGTATACAGTGCACTACTTTTAGCTGTTAGTCTGCATTTCTTGTCACCCACATGAGCTCAGTACAAGGCTGTCATGGCTCCTGCAGTGCCACAGTCCTACCTGTGCTCCTTGCCCCAGGAGGGGCCTGGCAGAAGGCAGCCATTAGCTCTCCCCATGCATTCCCTGCACATTTGTTCCCCAGCGGTCACTGTTGGGGCCCATCTTCTTTAATATCTTTATTGATTATTTCGATGAGGGTATTGAGTGCACCCTCAGTAAGTTTGCACATGACACCAAGTTGGCGGAAGTGTTGATCTGCCAGAGGGTAGGAAGGCCCTGCAGAAGGGCCTGGACAGGATGGGTCAATGGGCAGAGGCCAACAGGATGAGGTTCAACATGGCTTAGTGCTGGGTCCTGCACTTTGGTCACAACAACCCCATGTAGTGCTACAGGCCTGGGGGAGAGTGCCTCGAAAGCTGTACAGAGGAAAAGGAGCTGGGGGTGTTGGTTGATGCACGCCTGAACTTGAGCCAACAGTGCCCAGGTGGCCAAGAAGGCCAATGCCATTCTGGCTTGTATCAGGAATAGTGTAGCCAGCAGGACCAGGGAGGTGATCATCCACCCCAGTACTCTGCCCTGCTGAATCCACACCTTGAGTAGTGTGTTCAGCTTTGGGCCTCTCACTACAGCAAAGACATTACAGCCCTGGAGCGCGTCCAGAGAAGGGCTACAAAGCTGGTGAAGGGCCTGGAACACAAGTCCCGTGAGCAGCAGCTGAGGGACCTGGAGTTGTTTAGTCTGGAGAAAAGGAGGCTCAGGGAAGACCTTACTGCTCTCTACTACTACCTAAAAACTTCTTTATTGTGAGGGTGACAGAGCACTGAAACAGGTTTCCCATAGAGGTTGTGGAGTCTCCTTCTCTGGAAATATTCATAACCTGCCTGGATGCCATCCTGTGCAATGTGCTCTAGGTGATCCTGCTTGGCAGGGCGTTTGGACGAGATGATCTTCAGAGGTCCCTTCCAACCTTGGCAATTCTGTGATTCTGTGTAAGGAAGTTGTGGAGAGCTGGGGGTTGGTCTCTTCTCACAGATAACCAGCGACAGGACTAGAGGGAACGGCCTCAAGTTGCACCAGGGGAGGTTCAGGTTGGAAATTAGGAGACATTGCTTCTCAGAGAGAGCAGTCAGACATTGGAATGGGTTGCCCAGGGAGGTGGTGGAGTCACCATTCCTGGACGTGTTTAAGGAAAGGTTGGACATGGTGCTTAGGGACATGGTTTAGTGGGTGATATTGGTGGTAGGGGGATGGTTGGACTAGATGATCTTGAAGGCCTTTTCCAACCTTAATGATCCTATGATTCAGCCCACCAGAGTCACCTGGTTTCCACCCATATTACAGCCATTCCATCTTCAGAGAGATGAGCAGAATCTGTCCTTAAAAGTTGATTTGGTCTGGGCCAGTTTGTTTGACATCTTATCAGCCATTTTGGCTTCTCTTCTTGGAGCATTAGGATTCCTCTCTCTACCTGTTGGTATAAACTCTCTTTGAAGGCAATCTTTTTTTTTTCTTTTTTTTCTTTTTGGACACAGTGACAATGACTGGAAGGGTGGCTTTAAATGTTAATGGAAAAAAGTAGAGACTTTGAAACCTTGTAAAATGTTGCTTCTGCCACACTCTACATTTCCTGGGTGCCTGCTGCAATGATGACTGGGTTGCTCTGCTTCTCCAGTCCTGGGTGCTGAGAATGGAGGTCACCTGAGGCCATACCTCCTGAATCCACCTCACAGGGCTCCAGGGACTGCCTGAGTCTCATGAAAGTGACAGCAAAGCAGTTCCTTGGCAGACAAGGTGCAAGTGCTCCCACCTTCCACTTCACACTGGGAACCCTTTACCTGTTTTGACATTGCCTCTTGCATCTCTGTTCTATAGGATGGGTTTCTTTCCAGTCTCCTTTTCAAATGAATCATAATACAGACAACAAAGGACATATGCTGAATTATAGTCAGATCGTCAGGTAGTTTTGTGTGCTTACGTGTGACGGAATACAGAAGTGATCAAAAGAATTGCTTGCTACAATATTGGGATTATGTCCTATTTCAAAAATGCATTCATCATTAAAAAGGTTCTTTTGTGCCAGCTAAATTGGATGCCAGTGAAGGAGAGAAACAAACATTCTTAAATTTATTGGGGTAAAATGATGCTAAGAGTTGGACTGCTTAAAAAGCTAATGTCACTATTAGTAATACCATTAATTACCGCAAAATTCCTTGGATTTAAATGAGGAACACAGCAATTGAATCAGTTATATCCCCCAAAGTATATTCTTATTTTCAGCTATGTTCCACACAACTCCATTTCAAGATCCATTGGGTTACAAAACCTAGCTCTTCGCTATTCTTCTTTGACATTTTAAGGTACTAAGTGCAAGTCTCCTGAGAAGATGGGGTGCAGCACTTGCTCACAGATTCTTTTACTGAAAATTTTGAAAATAATATCGAAATATTCAAATAGTATTTGAATACACATTCAAATAATTTGAAAATAATGATGAATTAGTAATATCACCACATGACATTTTATATGTATCTTACAGTTTGAAAAAAATATGGAAAAATAAAAAAACAAAACAAAACATAAATTTTCCATGAAATTCTCTCTAAAATGAGTAGCTCTGGTTGCAAGCACAGATCAAAGGACTAATTTATAACAAGACGCTGGACAGCTAGAAGTCATCACAGTTGTTTACACAGGCTACTTACAGGCCAAATACAGAAAGCTGTCATCCAGCCACAGAACTGCTCCGAAAGCTCTTCTAGTCCCCAGATGACTCTCTCCCTGCAGCACTGCCACCCGCCTGGCTATGCCCCATCCCATTTTTTCATTTTTTGAAGAGAAATACACCCAAGTATTACAGTGCACAAGGCAGGGAATGAGCTACATCCTGAAATACCTCCCAAGTAAAACCATCGTCTCTTTGCAAAGAGAATCAATCCACCCTTGAGATGACTAAAAACCCCTTAATTACCTTCTTTACCCACCCCTGACTTCTGTGTGAGAAGTAGGTTTGATGAACAAAAAAAAAAAAAAGAAAAATACTGAGTATTGACCCCCTATCATACTCTGTCATGTTCATTTGGCTCTGATAACGATTAAAGTTCTGTTAAATACCAATGCTGATAGTTACAACTTTAAGCTGTCCAATTATACTCAACTAGAAACCTGTTTTCTACTAAAAATGTGAACTGGTTCTCTGAATTATAAAGGGAAAAAAAGTGAAACAGGAAGATACCATGACAAAGCTGTAATTACTGAAGGTTCCGGTGACAACAGCAAGCTCGGGAGCCTTGCTCTTCTGGTTAATTACGATGTCATTAGATGCCCTCAATGTACCATGTGCACAGGCCTTTACTTCAGGGCCTATCATTTATTCTATATATTAACATCCAGAACTATAACCTTGATATAACCTAGTCATTGGGAAAGGCCACAAACCCTGCCATGGTATGTCTGGATGCCAACACTACTGCTTTATTGCATCTGAGACAGAACCACAAAAAACACATTGCTTTTAAAACGGATCGTAAGGTAAATAAGAAAAACATTGCTAGCTGGAGGTGCATTGAACTGACCAGTAGCTCTGTAATTCTAGTACCGTGCACTTGAAAAAGTGCCTGTAAAGGATATTAACTAACCTCCATCACCTCCAGCGTAGGCAACTAAGTCCTACTGGAGAAACATGCCTGTTAAAATATATGGAAATATATGGACTGCTGTTCAGATGTTAGATTTCAGTTCCAACTAGACCCAGTATTTATTTTTCTCATGTGGAGAAACTGAAACAGATGTAGAGTATCTGGTTCTGATTTCCACTGCTGTGTGGAGATCAGGTGGAGTTCCACTGAGTAAAGCCAGATCAGGTCAAAATGAGCTGCCTTCTAAATACTACTGAGGATCTAGAATCGGAGCCCTGAAACTTGCTTCAGACCACAGGGTCTGCCTGTCTCTAAAGGCTCAGTAACAATCCCCTCAGATCTCCATTTCCAAAATGGAGGCTGGTATTCCTAAGCAGAACCTTGCCCAGAGACGAACATTTTTCAATAAGCAAGTTTCTTTGCTCTGAAGCATCCCGTGACTGTTTATCAATCATCTGGTATCTTACTAATGAAAATGGCATTTAAAAAGATAAAATGACTTGACCGAAACAGGTTGCGTGGTTTTTAGGGGCAAAGTTTGTTGTTTGTTTTTTTTTTTTTTTTTGGAACAAAGTTCAAGGAGGGCCAACTTGGAAGGACAAGGAACTTCCTTGGCAGGTCAAGTTCCTGTGTTTGTCAGAGCACTTGCTGTTGCCCATGGGGTTCTTTCCCTTGCTGACCCAAGTCCTCCCAGAGGATTTCCAATCCAAGACACTGGGAGTGCTGCATCACGGCTTCCTCTACGTTACAAACTACCAGCACTTCTGTGTAAAACTCTATTTAAAACCCTGCAGCATTAGAAGAGATGTAGAAACACCCTCCCCACCAACAGAAACGTCGGCCACGTCTCGGTGCAAGCCAACACCGTTTGTAACGTGCGAAGCACACGCCTAAAACAAAACGCAGGCGTCGGTGCCGCACCGCGGCCGAGCCCCTACCGCTACGCCCTCCCCGCCCGCCATCTTGTGCGCAGCACTGCGGGAGGCCGGGCCGGGCAGGGCCGGGCAGGCGCCGCCGGCCGAGCCACCCCAGGCGGAGCGGCGCCAGCCTCTCGGCGGCCTAACCGGCGGCGGCGGAGCGCGGGCGGCCCCTGCTGTTGCGCGGCGGCAGCGCGGGCGAAGGCCCCGACGGTCCGCGGTGCCCGAGCCCCGGGCTGCGCCCGAGGCGCCGGCAGCCCACGGCCGCTGCCCGGCGGGCCCTTGGCCCTCCCGTGAGGTGCGGGTGGCGGGAGGGCTGCACCCCGTGAGAC